TATCGTCAATAAGATCCCACAAAACTAGAGACGTGCCCGAAAAGAACTAAAAGGTAAGTTGAATGAAGGGGAAGAACTCGAAAAAAAACGAAGTCGTCCATAAATATATCTTCTAAATAGGACAGACAGTTTCTTCCCCAGGAGGATCATGAGCTATCTCCCTGTTTATCAGACCCTTAGAGTCCTGACTTTCTTCACTGAGCAGAAACTGTCTGTCTCTCCTTTAACTAGCTAGAAGAACCACTGAAAAAATTTTTCTCCCGGTGTTTTATCGTGGAACTGTTTTGTAGAAAATATTGCTTGATAATGAAGGATATAAACTCAATTATATCCCGCAATTGGCCTACACTCCCCATGACGGTAGCGTATACTCTCAAACTTCTTGAGAACTTCTGTGATCAGCCCGTGAGTGGCATCACCACCTATGGCTATTCTTGGCTATACATTCCCTACTGATGTAATCTACGGCCCCAAACACTGTCACGACGTCCACTAGCGCGGCAAATTACGATTGCTGTCACATTACCCTCCGAAACTATCTTGCCAAGCAAATAGTAACTTCAGTAATTAAAGGGTGCCTCCCACCGTCTGGGTGGGGTCACTGGTCGTGTGGGTGGTACTTCCCACGCTGGTCATGTGGGCGGGGTCACTTGCACAAGTGCGCCCTTCTCGTTGGGCTTTTGCTCCTGAGAAGTTCGGTCAGGGGACCATGGTGATTCAAAAAAATTGAAATTACCTACCCAATGCGATCAACCCTCCCTCCCCCCTAGTATAGTATCGAGCCTCGCGGTGCCTCGCCACTAAGGAAGCACTTTTATCACGTACTAGCAACCACTCACTGAAACAAGGTGGTTGAAGATAACCCCAGTACAGTGCCTACTTTGCTAAAATTATACCCCAAAGCTGACGGGAAAGAGCTTTAGTTCCATAGTATCTGATGGCTATTCCTTGGCACTGCGTAGTTCTGTGCAATGATTCCAACGACTTACAGGTTGTCGCTCTGTCTCCGGTATTGAGCCGAGCGATTCTAACGTCACCACCCCGGCATACGTGTCCTTTTCATCTTCGTAAATTCGAATTTCATCGAACGGAGCCGCATTTTGATCTGATTCCAGATCATGTAGTTGAGATCGCAACCTGTCATCTAAAACAGATGCACTTAAGAAATGACTGAAATACAACCGATGAACGATCCTGATAAAGAAACTGAAGCCCACAATCTTACCGATCGGCAGGCTCGCAGCGTACATCGCGCCGGTGACCATTATTCTTCATTTACCTTTCTATGCGGATTACTTGACCTTTCGCATAGTCTCCGCTACCTCGTACATACTGAAATTAGCGAAAAACCCCATACGAGGAAGTTAATGGCATCTTCGAAAACAGTCAAAGAATTCCATGATTTCTCTCATAGAAAAAACCGTCCAGTAGTTGCTTACCTGATCGTTGTCTGCTTCGCCTCCACCTTCGATGGCATACGGTCGGAGATTATCACGATTCAGATCTTCTGGTCGAACCGATTCGAACGGCGTCGTTTGACGACGAGCATACACCAACATCAGCATGACTAGCACTGAAAGTGGAGCGATAAATCGAATAGAGCCCATAGAACTCGTACGAGGAGTAAATGAAAGAGGTAAGCGCCCCAGTGCAAGACAAGTCTCCACAAACTCCACCCTTAGAGCGACAGTAGGTCATAGCTAAGAACTAGGCACAAGCTCAATATCTGCCCTGATGTATCTGTTTGCAATCCTTTTGGCGCTGTTCGATTTGCGGAAGGGGGGGGGGATTTGCTAGTTTCTCTTGTGGCTCATGCTCTACACTAACAGTCTCATTTGAGTGAAACCTGCTTTAGCACCCTTATGTAGCCGCCGAAACGGTCTAACAAGTTGAATCACGCCTTTCGTCCGTTATGAAGAACTTACAGCGTCTTCACGAGATGACCTCCTATAGGATCTTTCTGTTGCCCCACCAAGCCAACACTGCCACCGCTCCTCTTTGCCAAACTTGAAGTTGCGCTTTTTGATGTAACCTGCCCGCCGACGCCGACCAGCAGCGCGTCTGCCCTCTCCGACTTATGTGCGCCAAAACCCGTCCAGATGCGGAATGTTCAAAAGGAGTTAAGTGTAGATACACTCAGGCCACATGCATAGAACGCGACCCGAGCGATTTAGTGAAGTATGAACGCACCCTCAAAAGGCTAACAAGATCCTACAGATCCCACTGAAAGTAGGGAAAGACCTCCAGTCAGTACTAACGAAACTCTTACATATACCTAACAGTAAATTATATTGTGCAAAGGTGAAGCAGTAGAACTATAAAGAAACTTACTTATTAACAAAACCAGTGACACCAATATCAAGATAATGGCCGGATTACTGATGCCTAATTTTGCCACAGCCAATGTTTCACCGCATCCAACGAGCTAAAAGAGATAAAATTAAAAATGAAATGAAGTGAGGAACTAGTAGTCTGAAGCTTCTATGTGCGAGATTACCGTAACTACGTACCTGTCCATCATCACCGAGCATGGCATTGGCACCTTCAGGGACATGTACAAAACGCTCCTTTCCAGAAATCCATGCATACCATGGCGCCGCTACAGTAACCGATAGGCAGTTGGGCGCACGTGATCAACAGGCTGCATCCTGTAAAGTGTTTGGATGAAGGCTTCTGACTGATTGAAGTCCCCGGCATTCTTTGGAACTGGATCTCTAATCAGGGCA